TTACTTTTTCGCGTTCTTACTGTTCTTTTTGTTGGTATGAGGGGTTCGGATGTTAATAGTTACCTCTTTAATAGACCAATTCCATATATTATTTTTTCCTTTTCTTGGGTATGAGGTTTTATAATAAATTGAAAGATGGAAACTTTTTATGCGACGTTTTGCTCCAGCATAGTGGGCTTTTTCAGGCACAAGTGGTGTCTCATTTGACTAGAAATCATCAATATCTAATAAAAACCCCATTTTTTGTAATACAAATAATTTTGAGTTCTTGTCCTTATGATCAAGCCAAGTATTAACCAGAACGGCATTGCTTATCAATTTTACTCCATCTGAAAAGTATTATAAAATAAAGTTCGGCACAAGCAGACGCATATGAACTATACAAAAATTAAAAGTGTATGAATATGACAACAAAAATATTCAATAAATACGATATGTTTTGTTTTTTTCTTTTTTAGATAGCTTTTTGAAGTTTGAAAACGTAAAATTTTTATACCCATTTAAGAATCATCTTAAAAAATAAAAACTAAACAATCACGAACTTGTTTAGAAATAAATTTAAAGTACATACCTTGCTTAACAATATCCATAGTGGCTTTCAATTAAGTACGTACCGTTTAACTCCATAATATACAGAACTACTATGAATGTTATTCTTTTCACTGATAAGACAATGATCGCAAAGTTTATTTTTGGTGAAAATATTTTCTAACAAAAAACGCTGTTTATGAAAAATAATATACAGGATGATTGAATATTAATAATAATAATAATAATATTTATTTATTTCCAAATTATGTTACAAAAAAAACATAAAGAGAAATATCGTCAAACATCAAAATAAATATTCCAAAGCATATTACACATATTTTACAAAAATTAGATAAGTCTACTTACATAAACGGGAAAATATATAGAAAAAAAATAAACCTAAAATTTACAATATTGGATATAATTCAACAATATTTCCTTAATCCTAATTAACCATTGAAATTAAAAAATTCTGGCAAGCTATAAGGCTCTATATTTAATAAATAATTTTTTAACTTAAATTTAAATTCGCTTAACTTTCCACAGAGTCTAAGTGTTAAGGGCAGTTCATTATAAAACTTTAAACACATATACAAAGGGCTTTTTTCCGTAATCGCAAGTTTATGAGCGGGATAGTTTAGTAAATTCTTTCTAGTATTGTACTGATGTATTATGTTACTCTCAAAACATTCTCTATTCATGTAAAAATATACTAAACATTCATAAATATATAATGCGTATACTGTCATAATTTTTTCACTCTTAAAGATCCCTCTACACGATTCGTTGAAATTCATTTTTCTTACAGTGCGTATTACCCTTTTTTGTGTTACAAACAGTCGTATTTTGCTGTTGCTGCCCCAAAATATTATCCCATAGCTCATGACGGACTGAAAATTGGAATAATACAGTGTTTTTAGTGTTCTCTCATCCATATATTTGCTTATTACCCTAATTGCATAGCACACTCAACCCAGCTTTTTCAAAAGATATTCTATATGATTACTCCAATCTAAATGCTCATCAATTATTATTCCTAAAAATTTCGTGTGGTCAGATATTAATATATTTTTAGTCGAATCATATGATGACATTTGTTTTATCGGAATTCAGAATTAAATTATTTTCATTGAACCATCTAGATACATTATCTAATAAAATTTTGCTCTCGTCAATTAATTCGGAATATTGCTATAAGTATATAATTACATATTCAGGTATTAGTAAATTTTAACTTTTTTTTCGATTTTTGTCCATGGGACGAAGCACTGTGCGACAGTTTGTTGGCTCGAGCCGCAGGCAAGAGTCACAAGTTGAACAAAGAGTCGTGTGTACAAAGAGGTTTTCGAACGAGTTTTTACGCTATTTTTTCTACGACTACAAATTAGCAGCAGACTCACTCAGTTTTTGCCAGTTTTGTGAAATAATTTGCGGTGTAATGATGACACTTTTTTACGGCTGCGTTGCGTTTGGCGTTTCAGCTAAACATTGGAGGTTAAAAATGTTAAAATTGGCACATGTCGTGTCCAAAATGACACGTGTTGTGCGCTGAATCCTTAGCACACAACGGTTTGCAAAACGCCAATTTCAGATCGAGTTTTCCGTGTGTCAACATGCATTTTCTAGGCTAGTCGTAGAAAAAACAAATTTGGTATGTTAGTATATGACATAAATTAGGATTGATTGACGTATTCAATTGTTGGTCACTTCTTTTGTTGGTTTCCTGTTTCACCGGAAATGACTACAACTTTTGTATAGTGAGGCTATATTTCAAGAAGCTTTGGAAGAGGGAGATGATTACCGAAATTCCCGGTTCCGGAAAACAACTCCGGTTCCGGTAACCCTAGTTTTGACTGACGTAATGTAAAATATTATGTATAAACGGGGCCTTTTGGCATACATATCTACCTAATTATACAATTTTTATTAATTTTCCATGGGTTCCGTATATAATTGTTATACATTTAAACAATTAAAATGAATCAGGTCTAGACGTATCGCATTGTTAAATTACACGGATTTTGGTGAATGGTGGAACATTTCTGGGTGAAGACGTAAACAATTGGCTATTCGGCTTTTGGTAGGCAATTATCGATATTAATGAGGCACTTTCACATTTGTAGGAAGACGGAAACTATGATGCCGGATGGACGTTTATTGGAATTGTTATAGATCTTTTAATTGCTCCTTTTCATTAGTGCTTATGCGTATATGTACAGGTGTCCCGAATTCGAAGCCGATAATTAAAATATCATGAAAATATGTCAACGTTGCGCAATTTTAATGTCTAATAAAATGTCGAATTTTTTTAAGAAGTTATACTCTACTTTTGTTTCATTTTTTTTGTAATGGAATTTCGATAATTCACATGATAACCATTTACTGCCTTTTTATGGACAATTTTATGAACCCATAATTTTCAGATTGAATGGTTTTAAACAGCCGTAAAAGAATCGTAATGTTCATCTGTAATTCTACGAGATTTTAATTACAAAATATTAGTGTATTATGTGTATGGATTTACGAGTTAACTAATATACACTATCGGACAAAAGTAGAGCCACACTTCGAGAAATATTTGCAAATCGCGATTTTTTAATTATACATGCATGATAATGTATACAAATACAATAAATTTAAAAACTACGAAGTAGGCTATGAGTATCCATGACAGCAAGAACTTTTACTAACAAAACAAATGAATTTATTTTGACATTTATTTTTAAATGCTTAATAGTAACGCGTCAAAAGTAGAGCAACATAATTCATTCCAAAGTAGGGTTTTAGCAAAAGTAAACGCCAAAATAATTGTGCGAGGTTTATTTTATGTTTTTTTTTAAACATTTCTATGCTGGATTAATCATGTCAAGAGGAATTCCAAATTTCAAAAGACTTGAAGCAAAGAGTTGTGAATGCATTCATGGAAGGTAACAAACAAGACGATATTTCAAGACAGTTTGTGTTACCCCGGTACAGTGTATCTAAAATAATTTCATCGAATAATGACAGGGGATACTTAGAAAAGTTGCCAAATTCGGGAAGGCCAAAGAAAACAACAGTAATGACCGACAGACGCATCAACAGAATTGCTCAAAATGATCCTTGGAAGTCCGCACCTAGAATTACTGCCGATATTCCATAAATTACTGTTGGTATACGAACAGTACAAAGAAAATTAGTGGATGCAAAATTATTTAGTAGACGTCCAGCTAAAAAGCCGTTAGTTTGGGAAAGAAATAGAGCAGTAAGGTTGGCATTCGCACGTCGGCATTTAAACTGGACCGTCAATGACTGGAAAAAAGTTCTGTTCAGTGATGAAACGGGCTACAAAATATTCAATTCTGATAGAATGAGACGTGTGAGGCAACCAATCAATAGAATGTTTAATCCTAAATACGTAACACCTACAATTAAACACGGTAAAGGCAGTGTATTTTTATGGGGTTGTTTCTCATGGAATGGGATAGGCCCTATACACTTTATTAATGACACCACGGACCGATTTGTTTATAGGGATATCAGCAGAATGTTATGCTGCCTTATGCAGAATGGGAAATGCCACTGCGTTTTATTTTCCAGCAGGATCTCGATCCAAAACACTCTTCACAAGTTGTTCAACAGTGGTTTAGGGAAAATGACGTTTGGGTTTTGCAATGGCCAGCACAATCACCAGACCTTAACCCCATTGAAAATCTCTGGGAAGAAGTAGAACGTCGTATTCGTACCCAAATGTTTCCAAATAAACAATCCTTGATAGATAAAATGAATGAAGTTTGGACAAATCTTCCCGAAAATGTCATTCGGAAGTTGATTGCTTCAATGCCGCGCCGTTTTCAGCAAGTTATTAATAATAATGGATATTCTATCAATTACTAATGTATTACTTTCAATTATTATTGGTCTTAAATGTGTTAAATATTTTTTGTTGAAATAAGACACAATAAAATCTGTTTGGTTTGGTTTAATGTTTTTCGTGTCTTGTCCTGGCCGGTTAAAAGATGCCCAAATCGTATTTTTATTCATATCTCAATTTTTTCAATTGAAACAAGAGTGGCTCATTAACATATTTGGAAAAAGCATTTTTCACGAATAATTTGGTACCACACATTTGGTATTTCGAGTCAAATTGTCGTTATGAATCGCTTGTTGAATCAAAAGTTGGCTATGATATGTCATTCTATTGAGAGTGTCATTTTCTATCGAATAACGTAACAAAGTACCGAAGGTGCCATTTAAAAATCAAAAGTTGTAGTCATTTCCGGTTAAACATGAAGTGACCGAAAACAATTGAATACGGCAATCAATCCTAATTTATGTCCATATACTAACATACCAAATCTCGTTTTTTATCTGAAAAAATAAAAAAGTTATAAGGTTGAGCTACTTTTGAAAGGCACCCGGTATATATTGAACCTACGCCATTATCATTGAATACACTGTATTTATTATTCTTTTTCTTCTTTTTTCAGGAGCTGTCAGTACCCTCGCAACACGGCAACGGCCAGACCTCGTTCAGCTTCGCCATGTCCTCGACGACGGACATGGGGGGCCCGGCGGGCAGCTTCGAGTGCATCCAGGGCTCGGGGCCCAAGGGGGCGCTCGAGTCGCTCGGCTCCATCCCCTACAAGATCAGGGTGATGGCCAACGATGACGTGTACGAGGCCACGCGGAATCGCATGACCGAAGCGGAGGACAAATACAAAAACAAGTGGTACGTTTAAAACTATTCCTGTTTCGAGTCTCTCCTTTTACGATTTTGTTTGCGGAAATGTTATAATTCTAAAACTGGTTGATTTGTTTTAGTTTTGAGTTACGTAGATGTCTGTCCAACGACAAGATCCTTGACAGTGATAGATACTGTCTGTCATTTTAATTTCAAAGTAGTTTATTTTATTTTACAAAGAAATAAGTTGGTACAACTGGAACGCATAGCAGTAAATTAATATATTTAAAATTTGACTGATATATAAAAACGTAATAGAGTTCTTTTTTTAAAAAAAAAACGGCATGTGCTAATACAAAACAAACAAGAACAAAACATTACATACCAAAAAAATATAAAAAAGAACTAAACTGCCCGTCAAATTAAATACCACAGCGATTTTTTTACTCATTTTCAACGAGTTGTAACTTTGAAAAAAATGGACCAATTTTGTTGATTTTTTTAGCATTTTAAATCGTTTTTCGTAGATTGATCTGATTTTTCTAAATTTTGTATGAGATTTAGTTTTCTATGATATACAGGGTGTGAAAAAAAAGAATGTAATTTTTGTGTTGCTGCCATTTTGCTAAAAAACAAAATTTAACTAGAATTATAAGTTCTGGGTATAGCTAAGACTAAATCTCGGGACGTATTTGGAATTTTTACGATAACTCATCGGGAATAAAAGATAATCAATTTTTACTCTAACTTGTATTTTTTCTACGTTTCTTAAGAGATATGCTAACTAAACTGAAATTAATTTTAAAATTGGATATTCGTTACTTTTACAATGTGAAATTAAAAAAAAATGATTTAACTAACGCAGTTTAATACAGGATCTCTTAAAAATACGACCAGCGAAAAAGTAAAATTATTTTTTTTAATATTCTGAACTTAACAGCCCATAAGGTTAATATAAAAGCTCGACACGTATTTGATATTTTTGTAAAAACTCTTTTTGTGTCTAAAAATCTGTAGTTTAGCTGCAACTTAGTAGTTTTTTTTAATTTCACATTGTAAAAGTAACGAATATCCTTCAATTTTAAAGTTAATTTCAGTTTTATTAGCATATCTCTTAAGAAAGGTAGAAAAAAACACAAGTTAGAGTAAAAATTGATTATCTTTTATTCCAGATGAGTTATCGTAAACATTCCAAATACGTCCCGAGATATTAGTCTTAGCTATACCCAGAACTTATAATTCTAGTTAAATTTTGTTTTTTGGCAAAATGGCAGCAACACAAAAATTACATTCCTTTTTTTTCACACCCTGTATATCATAGAAAACTAAATCTCATACAAAAGTTAGAAAAATCAGATCAATTTACGAAAACCGATCTTTAATATGCTAAAAAAATCAACAAAATTGGTCCATTTTTTTCAAAGTTACAACTCGTTGAAAATGAGTAAAAAAATCGCTGTGGTATTTAATTTGGCGGGCAGTTTATTTCTTACTTTCAAGCTTCAAGAAACTTCCCGCATTTATTATTATAATTTATTATTCAATTTATCAATCTTATGTACAAATCGAGGGGTAAACCGCAGAGGAATTATGGTGTACACTATGAAGGAATTCTACAGGAATTCCAAGGAATTACGAGGAATTCCAATTATTTCCGTGAGAATTCCAATGAATTCCAAGGAATTCCTTAGAAATTTAGAGGAATTCCACAGGAATTAAGAGGAATTACAAGCAACTTTATAAAAAATTAACGAACATTAGTAAACCATGAATACTATAATAGGTAGTACTAAATTTAAAGAAAAACGTTTTGCAGGCGATTTTTTACTATCCGTTTTTCGTTTTCGTTTCCAAAATTTCCCAATATCAAATATCTACAGGTTAGATATTCTTTTAATTTAATATTGTACCCTCGATTATATATCTAAAATATTTTCCAATAGTACAGCTGAACCACCCCCGAAAGATCTACTTATAACCTTCCCTGATTTCGCCATTTTAAAGAAACCCTCATAAGATTTTTTTATTCAGTACTCAGAAAGTGTAAAGTTGATTTTTTCATTTCCTCGGAATAATACCTAGGTATATACTATAGGGAAATTAATACAACTTTAGGTGCACTTCATCAATGATACCATGCGTAATCTTATGGAATTTACTGGTGATCGTATTATGACGTGCAACTGAAGTTTTATTAAATTCCTTTCCTATAGATACGAGTATAACTAGGTACCTATCATTTTCAAAAAATCCCGAGAAAAATTAATTTTAATAAGTAAGTGCCGACATATTTCCAGTATTCTTACCTCATGATCCCCTATTAGTCCTAAAATTTAACTAAAAAACGTAAATCTCGTAATAGTACTTTTTATTGTTAGATCTAGTACCTATAGAGACATTAAACATTTATAAAAATCACCAGAAAATTCATAGCGGAACTGCGAAACCGAGGTAGCAACGCTGGTTCAGACTGAAAGAGTTACCGAGTTCGTACCAAGGAATTCCAAGGAAGACCTTGACCTTGAAGACCAGGAATTCCAAGGAATTTCGAAGGAATTACGAGGAATTCTGAGGAATTATTTGAGTAAAAGGAATTACGGTGTACACTTTTCCCTCTGCGGTTTACCCCTCGGTACAAATACAAATTTGTAATATTCCACAGGAATAAATAAAACAAACTCTTTTATTAATAAAACCTAAAAAAAAATTATTTATTAACCACTTACCAAATTTTATACCTTAAAGGTTGATTAATTAACTTTAATCTTAATTTTTTAAACCAGTACCTTTTGACATTATTTTTCTGCAGTACTAAAATCCATTATTTACCTATCGTGTGATGTCGATATTTTGCAGCTACTCCAGTTTTTAGTATATGTTTAGTACGATGGTATACAAACTTTATTCATGGTAACTTTATTGGTGTATAAGACTTTCTGCCTGGGCACCGTAGTATTAACTATAAACTGTGCTCTGAGTCTACAGTTAATTTTCCCTCGATTTTTCCTCCACTTGACTTCAAAAGATGCAAAACACACGTAATAACACGAATCAAAATGCATCATCTTCCAAAACGCAGATATTTGACATAAGTTGACACAAAATTATAACCTATAATTTGGCAAGACTTTGACAAGCCTCAAAAATCTAAAGGCGAGTTCATACGCATCGGCGTCCATTTGTCGTTCATCGTTCCATCAAACCAATAAAATTTAAATATGATCTGTCATTTTTGAAGTAAACCAATAAAACTGGTTAAAAACAACAAGAGGCGACGCGTGACGGATTTATATTTAAACCCATCCATAGTTAACTTAAAAAATATTAGAAACTCTTTTTTTAGTAAAATAAATAGATTGGTATGGGAGGTCATCTGCTTTTCTTCTGTCATCGTCTGTCGAAATCTTACCTGAGAAAAAAAACAGAGTATAGAGTTTTGCTAATAACTTTGAAATGTATATTCCAAATAAAACGAAATTCTACACAAATGTACAACTTTAACGTATCTTCATAAAAGTCTAATACAAATTTTGCATAAAATTATCTTGGGAGATAATATTTGACTTAAAATTAACATGGGATTTCCTATGTTCCGTGTTCCTATGCACCACACGGTAGAAACGGTTTTGTATCTAATTTTCTATCATCTATATCGTATCATCTATTTTTTCTTCTAAGACAATCTCTTTTTTCTAATTGCAGCACGCGAGAAATCAAACCGAACCAGACCGATATCGGCCGCAAAGTAAAGAGACAGCCGCCCATGCCAACCCGACCCGTGCTCCTGCCCGCCTCGCAACAGCCCAACAGGTCCAACATGCGCGACAGTTTGCTCAAACACCCCGCTCACTCCGCCTACCAGCAACAGCCATCTCTGCCCCCTGTCGTCAAACAGCAGCAGCAACAATCCTCGCTGAGCGCGACGCAACAACCCTCCTCCCTGCACACGTCCAACGGCTTGTCCAACGGCCTGGGCAGCAATCACGTGAGCAGTTCGCAGCGCAGCGGCGCGGCGGGAGGGATTATGGCGCAGCAGCACAACAGGAAACCGTCCTTGCCTGACGTCGCGAGGAGACCCTTGAGGTGGGACAATTTTTTTATTTAAAAAATGCGTCCTTTCTTCTCAAAGAGACCCGGTTTAAATTAAAAAGAAGTATAAAAAAGGCTCAAAGTCTCGGTCTCAACGTTTATATTATGTCAAACAGTGACACGTGTTTCGCTCATACGAGCATCCAGCGTGCGTCTGCCTATGCTAGAGCGCGCGCGTTCTTTTTCCGACGTGTGTCGGTAAATCAAAAGGAGCGAACGACGTGCACAAGCTAGCCGTTCGGCGCTCGGCGCTCCGCGCTCCTTAATAGGCCTAGGCTAGCTGTACTTGTTGGCTTTATTATTTATAAATCTACCTATCTCACAATTTTCACTTAGTATCTGTTTAATTATATATGTTCGCGAACATTTTGTTCGAGTAGCTTGGACGCGGCTTTAGAGTTATTCTTAATTTTCTATGTTTTTATTAATTTAGTACTACTATGAACGAGTAACAATAGAATGACTCGTTTATACAGAAAAGTGAAGAATATTTTTAGGAAATACCATTTTTAGTAGGATTACGTAGATATTATATTAAGAATGGCTGATAAGGTTTTTGAAATGATTACCAACATAGAAAAGTTTTATTAAAAACATCTACATGTTTTATCTGTATAAAAAATGAGTGTGCTTATCGTTATAAGGTTGTCTAATATGACATATTATTTAAGATTTTTTTTGGGAGAAATGATCTCTGTAAAATTTAATAACAAATATTTTTATAAATAATCTTGTCCTGTGCTTGTTCTACTGTGACAGATATGATTTATATCGTTCAATATTTTGATTAGAAAAATAAACAGACTGATAATAATGTTGTTTCCAACTAAATAAGCCTAAAATTTTAATATCTTAAAAATATTAATTGGCATGCATTTAAACCCTTTTTAAATCTATTTTATTTTTTTAGTAGTCAATATACAGTAGTAAAAAATGTCTTATCGGTTTTTTACTTGACAATATATTTGTTAAATTTGTATAATCAAATATCTTGTTTAATTTACACCGTATCATCGAAAAAATGGCGTCAAAGACGGCTGGGGAATGACAGTCGATATTAGTGTTGGGCAGGTCAAGCTCTAGACGTCATTTACTTAATCCATACTCTTTATTTTAATGGCGCTTGCTGTCAGTTGGTCTTAAGAAGGTTGTAATTTATTTTTATATTGAGTAAAAATGATTTTTAAATGGGATAGTTCAAAATTTGAGAAAAACTATTTTTTTGGACAATAGATTTGTGCGTCTGGAAACGTTCAATACTTTTTAATTTTTCTATATGTCAAATAAATTTAAGTTCATCTTGTCAAAGTTTTATCATGTTAACCTTTTCCAAGCCGTTTTACAACGTTTTGACATATGAGTTAAACAAAGATGTTTGATGAATCTCATTTGTCTATTGTAAAGCCAGTGTTAGATGACATTTTATACTGTAGACCCTGTATATTATATAAAACTACATACAAATTCGTTACATTGCAGAGAGCGTCTGATTCAACTGTTGGCCTTGAGGCCTCTCAAAAAAATCGAACTTCACGACCGACTCACTAAAGGTTTGTATACGTACCTCGGTACAGGCACAGCTTATTCAGTCCCAGCCGGTCGCAATAGCCTGTTTTGAGTGTCCGCGTGTCACATACTGCACCTTTTCAATGCAAATGATCGTTAAGTCGACAGGCTGGTTAATGAATAGGTTGTGATACGGTTTGCCCTTAAGATTCTTGGCATTGTGACCAAATGATCTATTTCAGAGGGGCTGCGAGGTGGCAGCAGTATGACCACGGTGCTCAAGCAGGTCGCCCACATGAAGGACAACACTTTCCATTTGAACAGGAACATGTGGAACGAGGTGAACGAAGACTGGCCATTTTATACTGAAACGGAGAAACAGTTACTCAAGAGGTAAAAAAAATATATATAATAAATTATATATGATCATCGTACATAAAAATGTCATATATAGGGTGATTCGCGGCGATGGCACGTTAGACGTTTATGGAGAACCGGTGATAGAATTTTTATGAAAATTTTGATTTTTACATAAATTGCACCTTCTTCGTCTTTCTAAAATATTTTCAGTATTACAGTGTTGACGCATCATTCGAAAAGTGGTAGATTCTTTTTTATTTTAAAAGGGACACCCAGTTGCATTTTTGGTTTTTTGGACAAAAAATGCTTTTTTGCTTAAATTTTGAGAAGCACTGGATCTTTTCTGGATTTTCTTTTATGTAAATTTAATCTACTACCTATGTTGCCATATTATCAAGAAATTATGTTTTTTTAACTTAAAACCAAAAAAAATTCCAAAAATTTGATCAAAAAATTCCAAATTTTCAAAAATGTTTTTTCGCAAAAAAACCTCATAGGCGTGTTTCTGAGGCCGAAATATACTACCAATTAAAATACTTGCACTTATTTCTGGGACACCCTGTATTGGAAAAATATACATAGACTTGTATAATCAAAAACATCCTATCACCGGCTCTCCATAAACGTCTAACGTGCCATGGCCGTAAATCACCCTGTATATAATATCGAATGTCTGTAGGTATACAAAAGTACTTTTCGACTTTTTTAAATACATTTATGGAATCGCTTCCCCTTCTAAAAATTTCAATGCACGCTGCTGGTATGAGAGTATTTTTAAATCCGGTTTCCTTTTGTTTTGCAGGCGCAAACCCCAAAACCTGACGCCCCCTGGCGGTAGCGACGGCGGCAGCTCCGGCAGCGGGCAGTCGCCCACCAGCACGCACCCCGGTTCGCCGCCTATGATCTCCTCGACCAACGGTGTTCTGGGCAAGAGGCCGGGGTACAACGAGGGCACGGACGGGTTCTCCTACAAGAGGCCTCGCATAGCGCACGGAGGGAAGACCGCCCTGCCTCAGCACTCCGCTCCGGACAACTTCGGGTATAATCGGTGAGTACTCGTAGATTTAGGAATATCCCGTGGGGAAAATCAAGATTCTTTTTTTTTTTTTCGAGAACCTAACATGTTTTTATAACTAGTAGCAACCAGAAGTATGGTTATGTCGCTGTGTATTAAAAAAATATTGTTATTTTCAGGCAACCACCGTCGGTGCCTGATCCTATTTATTCCAGGTCGCCTGTGGAACAGAACAGTCAAAGGCGGCCGGTTACCGACCTAAGGGACGCTTCCAATATGAATCCAAGAAGTAGAGAATCGCCTAACAACGGGTAAGACCTCACTAATATAGTCTATAAAAGAATAACTTTGAATTTTGACCCTTATTTTTTACCAACATGGCAAATATAAAATCCCTCTGTTAAAAAAGTTACTGATATTTGATTGAGTTTTGAAAGTTACTGATATCTGATTCTTTAAATTGAGTGCCTGAGTGAATGAATCAGATAGGTAACTCTTTTTACTTTCGTGAAATAGAAAAAGACAATAATCAAACAAGTGACAGTTCTTTCTCTTCTTGCAAAAATCAACACGAAATTACATAATTGTCAAAAGTAAAATGTCATTAGCTTTTGACATTGCTAAATGTCAGACCAATGCCGTCTCTAATAGAACAGCCTCGGAGCGAGATTTATGACGTCACGCTAGTTAGATATTACGGATTAATAAATATGTTGTAGAATACATGGAAAACATAATTATTCCTCGTATTTTTGGTTTGTATTTTAAAAATTATATAGTTTACATGAAATATACATAATATACAGTTAATAAATACAATATATTATATACCTATTTATAGTAATAAATACTTTGGCAAATAAACTATGAACCACACAAATGCAGCAAATGTTTTACGATATACAAATATCATATCTCAATCAATATACCTAAATAGAATTATTCTCTAAAGTAATTAGGGAAGCCAATAGTTGACCCCATTAAAATTTACATGGGATTTCTTATGTCCCGTCCGACGATGCAACACCCGGTATATGTTACTGTATGCGTCCGAAATACGGTAAAACCTAGGATTTACCAAAAGCAAGTGGTAGTAAAACCAACCAACCCCACCAAATAACCACCTAACCAATGCATTAACACCCCCCAAATAACCAGGCTAACCAATGCATTAACACCCTCCAAATAACCAGGCTAACCTAATTAGTTAATGTTTTTGATAAATCCTAGGTTTAGCGCGCTTATTCTAGGTTTTACCGCATTTCGAACATTTACAGTAACATATATATTTATTTATTAATACATATTTATTAATCCGTAGTATCTAACTAGCGTGACGTCATAAGTCTCGCTCCGAGGCTGTTCTATTAGAGAAGGCATTGCGTCAGCATGGTCGCAAGTTGCTAACCTAATAAAATTAACACTAGAAAAGCCCGCGAGAACTGTCAAACTCAAAGTTATTCGTTTCACAGACTATACTCAGTAACATTGCGTAAAGTCTGTAACAAGGCAGTGAGAATTTCGACAGACAAAAAATGACAGAAAATATGATTTTCCTGTGAATTAAAATGACAGACACAACTGTCACTGTCATGGAATCTCTTGTTGGACAGACTATACATAGATTCAGCTTGTATCTGCCGGTAGGACGGTTGTACATTCTGGGAGATAAATCGTTTTAATTAGTAATGAGTACTGATAAAAGATTAAATTTACCATTTCTAATTTTTTGAGTAGAAATTTGTCTATGAATTTATAAATGTAGAACTATGTTCCGCCGAACTATCTAGAATGTCGATAACATAGGAGATTGCAACACTGCAAGGTTTAGATACACCCTAGGGAAATCTCAGGTGAATAAACAAGTGGCACTAAAAAGTTTTTTCAAATTTCCCGGAAAATGTCAAGAAAAATTTTAAATTTTCAACATTTTTTTTTCGCCAAAAAAACCTCATAGGCGTGTTTCTGGGGTTGAACTATACTACCAGTTAAAATATTTGCACTTATTTCTGGGACACCCTGTATATATTTATCCGTTGCGTATCTGAGGGACAAAATTTTACGACCTACATCGACAATGCTTTGAAATAAACTAAATCAAGCGAATCGCTCGTCGCTTGCTACTTGCCATTCATCACCGAAAGAATATGTGCCCTGCGCACGCAAATTACTGCTTGGCGCTTGGCGTTAACGAGTACTTACAACAAGCGACGGATGAAAAACCGTATTTTTAAACAGTGATATTTCGCTCGAGCGATCACTCGATTATTGCAATCGGTTGAAACTCGAGTACTCGATTATTGAAATTAATCGGTTTTCCCGTCACTAGTAAAAACTCTTTTTAAAATATATTCCAGCCAGTTTGTCTGGATAGTCAGCTACCTGTAGCGGCTAGATATTTGACTTAATAATTATCGAACGTATTTGGTATCTCCCTTAATCGGTTACTATCTCACTCTTTTATTTACGGCAGTACCAGAATCGCAAGATTCTTATATTTGCGAACTCTAAATACACTACATGTTGATAGACAATGTTTTTTAAAGTTTTAGGATATTAAATAATCATCAAAATACTCTATAAATTACTATGAAACAATAGTTTTACGATATAGATAATAAATTTTATATTTATTCTACTTTATTATCAGAGAAATTAAATTTCATACGTTACTTACTAGGGAACAATCGACGAAAAAAATATATTTTTTAAAAGCAGTAAAATAAGCATAATTTTATTGAGATTACGCAGAGCAGGATCGTTATGGTGCGTTTAGACTTGAGCACGCACGAGCTGGGTCCGTATTCTATAACTTTGACATAAAAACGTTACGCTTTTAAAGCGGCGAGCGCAAGTAATTCGATCAGCGAAATGCAAGGCAGTCGATTTTAGTATTCTCGTTGCCATGCGAATCGTGTTCTGGATACGCGTTGAGCACATATTGGCAACATCACAATTTCTAATGTAGGTAATAGTCAAAAGTTGATAACTGACGGATGTAGCAATGAAAAATGTCAAATGTTACGTGAATTTCATAACCTATTGTTGAGTTATGTCAAGCTATTTTTCTATGGATATGTCATTATTCTTATTATACAAGGGAAGTGTTGAAGACGCTTCTCAGCATTTTCGATGTTTGGACAATATTTATAGCTGCCAAGTCGTAAATTATCAATTACTTATTGAGGATTTTCAAAGTTACAGAATACGGGCTCTGAGCGTGCGCGCACGGCATTCGTTCGCGCTCTCGGCTCCGTTCAAATTAAAAACTTATGTTTCGACAATGAAGTGATCCATTAAGGCAACCGTTTTCACAGCGCTCATCGCAATCAGTAAAGACGCTAAGCGCGTCAGACGAGAATACCGAAATCATTTGTGCGCGCACAGCAGAGTTGTGTTGGCGAAAATAATGGACGACCAAGAAATAGTCGAGGCTGCAGTCATTGTTATGCACAGCTTAATTATTAAAAAGAAGAAAAATCGAAAACATCGGCTCACGTTCGCGGCTGTTCGCGCACAGCACAGATTCAGAGTGAGCGTGCGCGCACAGCCGTTTACACTTGAGCATTCGCGGAGGATCAGTGCGTGCGTGCTCAAATCTAAACGCACCATTATGTTTTAAACATTTTGTTGAAAAACAAGTATGTAAAGACTGTTCAGCCATCGTTCACCGTTACGTCATCATTATTTGTCAATTATAAGTTTGAGGGTGTGTCTGAGAGTCTGAGATCATTTCATATTGTTTAGAAAATTTTAAGTACGTTCCTATATTATTGATTGCGAGTTCCGTTTTTTTTTTCGACATTTATTCTTTTTTTTTAACTCTTCATCAGTTACAATCCCTTTAATTCCAATCCTTTGGACTGTTGAAATTCCTAAAATGGTGTTTTTTTCCACCCTTATACTCTACTATGCGCAACTTGGTCTTTAGTGAATCATAAAAACATTAAATAAAATTGTAACATCTTAAATTTACCGAACCATTGTTAAATTTCTTTCTATTACGTTCATTTATTAAATCAGGACTAAAAATAAATTTGACTAATAAAAACTGATCTCATTGCACATTTCTCATAATTTTTTAAACTTTAAATCGATCACGGTTTATTTAAATCGGACTTACAACAAACCGTCGATGTTTTTAATAACGTTGTGTCATTCTCCGACTCTGCCAACCATGAAATAGACGCTATTAGGTAATTGTAACCCAGCTGAACGTACCATTGTCACCGCTAAAAAAATGTTTCTTATTGGAATTGATCGTGGCGAAACGAAAAAAAAAAGATTTTAAGTAGGTTGATCAATAGTATGGCGAAAAGAGAATATTCGCTTGATATAGTTGCTATAACAGAATATTTCTAAAAAAATATGCAGATGGGGAGATGTTTTAAATATTGCTATGATCATACCAAATAAACTTAGTTTTGTTTGTTGCCCACTTTTACATATTTTCTTTTAATCAAAATATTTTAGGAAACGAAAATAAATTAATTATAAATATCATACCAAAACAAGCCCTATAACATAGGATACAACATTTTAATGAACAGTGCTTTCCATAAAATCCATAAAATGAACAATATACGAAATAATATATATGTTCTGATTTCTTTCGAAAATCGACATCTATGAAACTATGAACCCTTCCTGGACACAAACGGTACATTGTGAGACAGGAAATTGTAGAGAGAAACAAGCCCTATTACATAGGATACAACATTTTAATGAACAGTGCTTTCCATAAAATCAATAAAATGAAAAATATACGAAATAAAATAAATGTACTGATTTCTTTCGAAAATCGACAACTATGAAAATATGAACCCTCCCTGGACACAAACGGTACATTGTGAGACAGGAAATTGTAGAGAGAAACAAGCCCTATAACATAGGATACAACATTTTACTGAACAGTGCTTTCCATAAAATCAATAAAATGAAAAATATACGAAATAATATACATGTTCTGATTTCTTTCGAAAATCGACATCTATGAAACTATGAACCCTTCCTGGACACAAACGGTACATTGTGAGACAGGAAATTGTAGAGAGAAACAAGCCCTATAACATAGGATACAACATTTTAATGAACAGTGCTTTCCATAAAATCAATAAAATGAAAAATATACGAAATAATATACATGTTCTGATTTCTTTCGAAAATCGACATCTATGAAACTATGAACAAAGAATATTATAGTTTTAAGAACTCTCGTGTGGAAGCTTTAGTGATTTGTCATACGGTGGCGCTTTTGAACATAATCGAAGCCTGAAAATGCTAATATTTTAAATTTTGAGGACTACGCGCG